CGAAATAGTTTCGAGGCGAAGGGGTGCTGCGCCATGACAGCCAAATAAAAATCCAAACAGCGAGCGAGAAGAGATGGAAGAGACAGACGCCGGTAGTAGCACAGAGCACTCGCAAAACAGTTTGTTTGTATGTGAGAAATCCCCCCCCCTTAAGGAAAAACTGAGCAAAAACAAACTCAAACCAACCCCGTAGTCGTGGCTTATGAGCCGCTGCCCCGGCGTGCAAGTGCTTTTATATTCTCGGTTGCCGGCCTCCCCACCCCGGCTCCCCCACCACCGGTCCCAGGCGCGGCCGGGCGCCGAGGGTGGGGGGCTGCATTCGTCCGGGGTTGGTCGGCATCCCCTCCGCCGCCCCCGGTCCGCCCCTCCCCCCGGCCGGGTAGTTCCGCCCCCGGCGCACAGATCGCGCCAGCGCAGCGGCTCCTGGCAGCCAGCCGCATCGATTGCATTGTCGCCGCGCTCTGCGCCGCGCCCGCCCCAGCTCGTTCGGCGGCTGCTGCTGCTGTTGCTTCTGCTTCTGTTGCTTCGACTGTTGCTGGTCTCTCGGTCTCTGCCTGATGAGACCATCTTGAAATGCCCGCGTCACCGTAGCCGTCTCAGCCTGTTTCCTCCCCCTCCCCCCGTATCCCCAGGGTTTTGCAAACCCGCAACACAATTGTGTCGTAGCCTTCACAAGGTACAGTGTGTTCAACACAATGAGAGATGAAAATTATGTTGTGCGGTTTACTTTTTCCATGTCCAATACCCACGAACGAGGTACTGCGATGGCTCTTCTTTATCTATGCTTCCTTGGTCAGTGAGGAAAATAAAGAAACTAGGAAGTACAATGTCTTTGTGTGTGTAAAACACCACAAACAGCAGAGTAGAGATACACACAGACGCATTACAAACAGCGCAACAGCAGCAGCGCTTATTTGGATGTTTCGTCTCCGTTGGCTGTGTCGCCACCCCACCTTCCCCCGTCCTCGTCTAGAAGATAATGCGATAAACGTTGTTTCTTCTTTTTTTTACCTTTCATTCCTCGCCCTCGCCTTGTTGCTCCTCTCCTGTTTTAACCTTCGGCCAGATCTGGGCTGGTCCGGGCAGGCCGGGCTGATCCTACGGACACCGCCACACCGACCTCATCTGTTCCATTGAGAAGAAAAACACGTAATAAAAAAGAAGTAGAAGAAACAACAAGATACACTTTTTTTCCTTTTTGTCGGTCATCGCCGCACACGCAGCAGACACAATGAAAGAAAAGTTGGGAAAAGGCAAAGTGTTATTTCGCCACCCGCCCGAAGAGCACACGCCCCACCAGCAGACACAATGAAAGAAAGAGAAGAAAAAAGGGAGCCGTGGGCCGGCTGCTGCACACCTCACCCCTATCACGACCCCTAGGATTTTTATCGAGCGCCTTTTTTATTTTTATTGTGAAGAGAAGTAGAGCGGTTCGGCAGCGTGAGTGAGAGAAAGAGAGAGATACCGACGAGCCTAAAAAAAAAGGTCGATAGGAAACTGTTGATGATGTGTCCTACCTGACCGTGTTGCTGCTGGAGGAGGTTTCGGGCGGCTCCAGGTGAGCAGGCGTCAGCCCGGCACACGTCTGCCACGCGCCGCTGCTCCGCCGGCACTGGAAAAAAAGAAATGAGGACGGGATTCAGCTTGCTGTGTTAAAAGAAACGGAATTATTATTTTTTGTTTGCGTGTCTCTGAACGGCTACATTAAGCCTAAATATTTATATATAATGTGTGTGTGTGTGTGTGTGTGTGTGTGAGCGCGTGCGCGCGCACGCGTGTCTGTGTGTGTGTGTGTGTGAAAAATACTGCCTATGTGTCCTGCGGTGTTCTAGTCGCGTGTTTCAAGTTTTAAAAAAAATGTTTCAAAAAATGTTTTAAAAAATCATGTTTTAAAAAACATGTTCAGAATGACTACTGAATTTCCTCATCTCTTCATTAAAGTTTATTTCTTTAGTGGAAACACTTTCTCGGCCACACCGCACAGGAGGGTAAGCAATGCGAGGCTTAATCACTCACTGCGGGCGCGGTGCGCCATGGTGGGGGGGGGGGGGGGCAGTTGCAGTGCAACGCCATTCACACGGCTTGGCGTCGCAGCGATTCTCAATCAGGCCCCTTGAGCCGCCCACCCCCCTCAAACCCTACGAGCCCTTTTCTTTTGCTTATCGAGCAGAACGGAAACCGTCGTCGTGTGACCTCGATCTCCCAGCATGCATTGCAATGCACGAACGAGCGAAGGAGTTGGACGAGGGGTGAAATGACCGCCCTTGACGCCGCACCCGCCCCTCCGCGCAGTGCGCGCGACCTGTCGAGCTGCTTGTCCCATGACCGGACAGGTCGTCGCATCAAAAACTTTTGGGCCAGATCGATACGTAGAAAATTGAGGATAAAAGAAAAGAGAAACAAGTTGGTTGGATAAAGGGGGAAGGCGTGGCGTTAACAAACTTGCGGCCTGCGGCACGCCTGAGGACGCCGCACGCCTCGGTCTGGCACGAAGATAATGGGTAGTCGAACCACGAAACCGCCTTCCTCGACCAACCTTCGAAGCCTTTTTGGACCTTTATCATACTTCACGTTTTTGGTGAGACGACAGACGCAAACAAAAGTGTGAAAAAAGCCTAATCAGGAATTCCGGTTGAGGGTTTCGTTATTGAAAAAGTCAAAAAGAGCCTAAAAGGATTGCATTTCAGTTTCTGGATTATAAATTTGAAAATAAAAGAGGGACATGTGGTATGCGCCGCACAGTAGCGCGCTGATGCCGCGCAGATGCGCAGAGGGGGGGGGGGGTGCTTTTCTTAATACGTGAGCAATCTCCCGTATTGACTTTGTTCCTTCCGGGCGAGAGCCCTCCGCTGCCGCCGGGCGAGGCGTGCCGGCCCGGCCACACCTGCCAGGGCCTGACGCCAGGGGGGCCAGCCCCACAGGTCACGGCGAACCAGGGTCTTCTTTCATTCGCTTTCATTCATTTGGTAGGAGAAAAAATCAACTCTGAAAGTACTATATGACAAAACGCTGATTAGCAAGTCTCTAGCAGATTTCTTTGGCACATATGATGCCGCAATATGAACAATAACAACAATGTATCTCTTTTCAAGAAAAAGAAAATATGATTCTTGTATACCAGAAACAACGTGATTTTAAACAGGTCATCATACTTGGTCATAGTTTTGATCCCTTTGTGGAGTCCTGTTTTTTTCTTTTTCTAACGCACGTAATAAAACGCAGATAAGGCTGTCTCTGGCTCTCTCCTTACACATACATGAGCCCTGTGCTGTGCCGCGCGCATATTGTGGTCGAACAAACCACACGATTCGCAAGAAGAGATCAGCCTGGGGATCAGAATGAAGGCTGTGTGTAACCAGAAGGGGACTTGGCTGGGCGCGGGGTGGCGCGGGGTCGGCAGGTACGGGAGGACGAGGAGGGAGGCGGAGAGGGGCGGGGATCCGTTGGGGCGGGAAAGAGAGGGAGAGAAAGAGAGCAAAGAAAAAAGAGAGCGAGAGAGAAGAAAACCAGGGATGAGGAGAAAGCTCATAAGAAGTGGGCTTTTGCCTTTGATGTGGTAAGCAAGAGGTTATGTGTGTTCTGCGTGGCGAGCGCTAGCCGCGGGGCCGAGGAGTGGGGCAGGGGAGGGGAGGGGGCGGCTCGTGTGGCCAGGGGCCCCCGAGGGAGGCCAAAGGTTGAGGGGCCCCCTTAGGCCCGGCGGCGGCCAACACAAAGGGATGATTGCGGCGGCCCAAATCTTATTTAGCTATTCGTTGGACTCTCTTCTTATCGTGCCGAGACTATGGCGACGCGTGGGGCGCTGGAGAGACACGCCGCTCTAGGGTGAGACTAGAGGTGTTTATTGGTCCACTTCTAACGCATTCTGCCCTAGGTGAATGAACTCAAAGGTGTCGCACACAAAATTATTGTCCGCAGCATTCCGGCAAACCTAACATATTGACAAAAGCCGCAAAAAATCAGAGACAAGATGAGATTGCAAATGTACGGAGTTCCCACAGTTTTCTCCGATTGCAATCCCCCTAACTCCTTCCCCACCGCCATGTTAGCCTGCCGCCTTCCCGCGCGGCGCGGGGGCGGCCAGGGCACGTCACGTCACGACGGCGCGTCACGCGGCACGTCACGCGAGCGGCAGTCACCGTGACGCCGTGACACGTCACGTGCCAACAGAATTAGTTTGTGCAAAAGGTAGTGTCTGTCCCGCTCACGCCCGCTGACCCTGAATATTCATGAAATCCATTAACTCCGTTATATAGGGGCCGCGCGTCGTGTTTGCCCACCCGCGACAAAGATGTGTTTTTTATTTGTTTCCCTTTTACTTAAAGGAAAACTAAAAACTAAGTAAACGAAAAGACTACAACTTTTAAAAAAATAATTTTAAAGACCAATTTGAGACATGAATTTGTTGCGAGGTCAATAGCGAGGGTGCGCGAGTGTGTACACATATCGGGGGGCAGCACCTAACGTCCTCACGCTATGCAGCCGTCCCTTGGAAGAGAGAGGGAGAGGGAGAGGAAAAGGGAGAGAGAGAGGGAGAGAGGGAGAGAGGGAGGGAGAGAGAGAGAGAGAGAGAGAGAGAGAGA